TCATCTGGGGGCCCATCCCCGACATCGACGACGACGCTTGCCCTCCCATCGGCGCCATATCATAATAGCGTAGCCCGAACTCGCTGGGCCTCAGGTGCCTCAGATGATGATTTCATTCATCGGTATTTCTGCGTGAGCCGTCCTCCCTGACTCTCAAAATCAAACACAAATGACAATGATTCAATTGCATCTCAAGTACTCCGGCAGCCGCTTGTCCCGAGCGTGCTTGCGCTTGCCCATGGCTGCGAGGGTTTGAGGTTACTATAGAAGCCTAGATAACTACCAATACTATTCCTTCGGGTTCCTTGTTCCAAGCATGTTGTATAGGAGCCCCAAGCCCTAGTCTAGTCAATAAGGCCCCTACATTGCAGCCATCGAGCCTGACTGAACACAGACCGAAACCCCTTTAAACCCCTCTGAGGATCCGGGCACAGCTCTTGTTTTCCTTGTACCAGGACGAGAACGCACAGGCTGGCCACTCAGGAGTGCCAGGCATCATGGCTATGCTGATTTCAGATTTCAGATTGCTGATTTCAGACTGCTGATTTCAGACGAAGCTGATTTCAGACGGCTGATTTCAGACTGCTGATTTCAGACGAAGCTGATTTCAGACGGCTGATTTCAGACTGCTGATTTCAGACGAAGCTGATTTCAGACGGCTGATTTCAGACTGCTGATTTCAGACGAAGCTGATTTCAGACGGCTGATTTCAGACTGCTGATTTCAGACAAAGTTCCACGCATATTGTATAGGAGCCCCAAGCCCTAGTCTAGTCAATAAGGCCCCTGCATTGCAGCCATCAATCAAGAGTGAGAAAATGCCATTGACAATTGAACACCAGAGTTTTCAAGGAGGCAGTTCCGGCCGCCTAAAAACTCGTCTGAGCCTGACCTGACTGAGCACAGCTGGCGGTTTCAGCTGGGGGAACAGTAAGTAGTTAGTAGGGCTCCTTAAATTAAAGGGACCCTCTCTCTCTCTCTTTCTCTCTTTCCTTGTCTTTGTCTCTCTTGCGGCCTCCCCTGCAATCTGAAGGCACTGTGCAACCCTCGCCCAGTTCCACCCCAAGTGGTCGCCAAGGCACTGGGCTGTCCCCGCTCGGGAAGCAAGCACCCCTATTGTGACCGCCGGTCAGGGGGAGAGGGTTGCCGAACGGGTGGGCACAGGATCCTGCCCAGCAGACGCATTAGCCCATGTGCTCTGCTGTCATCCACCGAAGTGGGTTGGCCAAAAGCAGGAACGTATGGCACTTCAGTCCCGACACCCGGCCAACGGTGTCTCGCATGTTCTGCGTGGGTAAGGACGGACTAAGGACAACGACAAAGCAAGCAAGGTCAAGCCCATGCTAAGAACAAGAATGGTCTAGAAAAGTGTTTGAGGTTCTCCGCAGATACAACGAATAATTTGGAATAATTTCGAAGAATTTCGAAGATTTACGAAGATCTGAGAAGAATGGTCTAGAAAAGTGTTTCAAGTTCTCCGCAGATACAACGAATAATTTGGAATATTTTGGAATAATTTCGAATAATTTCGAATAATTTCGAATAGTTTCGAATAATTTCGAAGATCTAAGAATAATGGTGAAGAACCTGGAATAATGAAGAATATTATGGAAGTTTACCGAAGAAAACTGAATATTTCCGAATATTTAAGCAGAAATGCAAACATTTCTGAATATTGTTGAATAGGGTTAAAAAGACCTTCGTGGCTGAATGCCAGCAGTGTCCAGAAAGCCTATGTTATACAGCATTAGAGACAAAGGCTAGCTCTTGAATTATCCGTCTCGAACAAGTACTCGGACGTGCTTCTGCTTGCAGACCCCGACTAGATGATATGATTCGGGCAGACTGACTGGGGTGGGCTGAAGCCTTATTCCAAAAAGGCACTTATCCTAGTCTAGCCTGCACAAACCCGCAAGCATGAGGATCTCCGCCAGGAAGTGCCACTCCGATGTCTGGACCGAGCCCCCGCTGTGCTGCGACTGCTGTGTTGGTTGTTGGAAGAGGGATGCCTTGCCGTGATGGCAGTTGTGCTGGCATGTCGCATGGGGCAGTGGTGCTGAAAGGTGCCATTCCTGCCGCGGCTTGCTCCAGAGCTCAAGCTCTCGTCGTCAAGGAGCGGCGGCGATGTGCCCGAGTAGTAGACGCCGCTGGTGGTCGTCAAAGCCCTACGGCGCTCGAAGCCGCTGGAGGCGAGCTACTCGCCAGGTGGTACGCTCGGCGATGGCTTCCTTGAGATTCTGCACTTTCCGCCCACACCGGACGCTGGCCGAGTGCGCCGAACTCCGAGTTGACGTCGGCCTTGGCCTACAGCAGCATGCCGACCACCTCCTGATGGCCTTCCTCGCAACAAAGCCTAGACTTGACACCAATGCCGAGAAAGCGACCTAGTGCTCAAGGGTCCGAAACAACAGCCCAAGTGTGGCCGAGGAATACAGGCAGCCCCAAGCAAAGGATAAGTAGATGGGAGTGTTTAGGGTGCCAGGTCTATTGCTTAGGTTCCTTACTTCGGCGAATCATCCCTGGATCTGCGGCCTGAACCCCGCTAGCCTGGTCGACGTCACAGCCGAAGGCTTCTTTCTCCTGACCAGGGCAGTTGTCAATACTGTCGGTTTCTATTTTGGAAAACGCTCGGGTGCTTGAAGGCGGAGAATGGGGGATATGGAAGAGAAGATTGAGGCTGCAGCACCGTTGTCATGCTGTCGCATGGTTAAATTAGAGGATGGATTGCCGGAGACATCTCTATGTTCATTGGATATGGACCAGGAATCCACTATGTACGGTCTTGCTGGAATTCCTGTTCTACTGGAAGAGTACAAGAGTTGTTTTTTTTCATGCCTGATACACCAGTAGCAATAGGAATGGAACTAGCAGGAGTACTGCTACAAGGATTAGAGCATCTCGAGTACGACAAGTTGTACTGCTCAAACTAAGAAAACTTAAAACTACCACGAGTCGCACCACCCTTACCAGCAGCAGCAGGAATAGCACTACTACCACCAGGACAACGAGCAGCACCGCTGACGGATTTGTGGTCTTATTTTACTATGTGTCAAACTTCCACGCAATCACGCCGCAGATTTTGGTTCTGTAATACGGTACGACGTGGTTGGGTAATGCTGCTTCTGTGAAAATTAGCCAAGTTGTAATTTATTACTGTTATTTTTTACTCTTACTGCGAATACGAAGGCAATTGAAGTCTTCGCAAACACAAAGAAAACTTCGCTTATTGTTTAAAACGCATAACTATGATGATTTTTGTTTTGTTTAGTATTCTTCTGTTTGACTATTCAACGCAGTTCCTGCGCCGATTCAGCTCTCCACGCAGTGACGGCGCAGAGCTTGCTCCACGCAGTCACGGCGCAGAGCTGGGTCCACGCAGTGACTGCGCAGCAGTTGGTGGCAGCATGAATTACATCTATATTAAACAGCACTTAGTATGAATAATTGTAATAGTACTTAATTAATACAACTGATTTAAATTTAATACAACAACTACTACTAGAAATACTACTACTAGAATTAATACTTATAGTACTAGTATTACTACTATAATAAAACTCATTGTAGTAGTACTGTCACTAGCACTTGTACTAGTACTAATACTAGCAGTAATACTAATACTAACAATAATAATTATCAAGTAATGCTGAATGCTACTAGTAGTTGCCGTAATAGTAGTAATAATAATAATCGTAACAATAGTTATAAAACTACTTGTACTACTATATCTATTCATAGTAATGGCATCCAATTATTTATTGCTGCTGTATGACTAGTAGTACTATTACAAACACTTGTAATGGTACTTTGGTACTGATGCTACGATTAATACAAGTACTACTACTACCAGTGCTGCTACTAATATTTAGTGCTACTACTACTATAACTATTATTAATAATAAGATTCCTACTACTAATAATTATTTCATATTACTATTAATGCTACTAGCACTCGTAGCAATGCGAGAAATGATAATAATTTAAGTGCTAGAAATACTTCTAGCAATACTCATATTCTTAGAACTCATATCCGAATTAATATTATTAGAAATATTAATTAAGTAATAATAATTTAATTATTTCATATTATTTTAATTACAGGATTCCACGCAGTGCCTGCGCCGACCAGCATCTCCACGCAGTCACGGCGCAGAGGGGCCTCCACGCAGTCACGGCGCAGAGGGGCTTCCACGCAGTCACGGCGCAGAGCTGTCTGGTCACGTATTATTCAAAGTTACAAGAACCTTGCTATGCGGCTCTACATCCAAACTTGTAACATAAGTTCGCATGCCTGACAATTCTGAACTCCAACCTGCAGCAAGGGCCTCGGACGTGTTTCGGCTCGGATGGCACCAGGCTGCTGTCCCGCCTCAGATTCGACAGAGCTTGGACTGAAACTACTCCTACTCCGTTCTTGTCGAGGACTTGAATTCAAGGATACCTCTCGGACGACTTCTGCCTGCTGCTGCTTCTCTGTCTGTCTCATTTTTATTGGCAGAGACTCCCCAATCCGGAAGAAACCCCATCAGAACCATCCGAGAAATCCAAGGACGACAACGCTGGGTGCCTCGCGACGGGTCTGCATTGGGCATGCCGTCACCTGCGACCAGGTCAAATCAAAGTCTGTGACCGCTGAAGGTGTCAAGAACAAGCACTTCCTGCAAGCTGCACGGGTCCTTTTTTCGCCGCAAGTGGCGAACGGCGCTTATTCGGATGCAAGATGCAGCGGCTATGCCGACTGCACAAAAGCCGTGCCTTCACGGAGGCAAAAGAGATTTTGCACTCGGGCGACTGATTTATGATGATTGATGAGCTTGCTTCTGTAGAATGCTTGCATATGCATAAGTTAATAAGTATCCAATTCACATTGCCTGTGCAATTCTTTAAAGCATCGCAGCTCTGATGAGGTACTAATTATGTATGTAATTTTAGCCGCCATCTCGGACAAAATCTACCTTTGCTCCGGATCAAGACTCGGGCAGGACTTGGACCGGACGTGGCTCAGTCCTCGCTGCCCTCCTCTTTGCCCGCCGCCTTGCTCTTGCCCTTGCCCTTGGTCCGAGCTCGGGCGGCCCTCATCTCCCTGGCCTTCGCCACCGCCTTGGCCTTCTCCTCCGCCTGGGCTCGGGCTGCCAGACGCTGCCGATGCGTCGCCCTGATCGCCCGCTCCTCCTCCTCCGCCGTCCGCTCCACCTGACGTGGAATCTGGCAAAAAAGGCATGACTGACACTGACCGCTGCTCACTTCAGAAAACTTAACTGTTTAACTAATTTGAGTTGAGCTGCGAACCAGATGCTCCGCTGCCTCGGGCGGGTGCTCGGGCTCCCTGGCCGGTGAGGCGACCTCCTCGGGCGGCTTCTGGATCGGCCCCTCGTCCTTGTCATAGAGGTGTGGGAGGTGCCTTGAAGGCGACCTTCGGCTCGGGCGGCGATCCAGATCCGGAGGCGGGCTCGGGCTCGGGCGGCGATCCGGATCCGGAGGCGGGCTCCTCGTACTGCATCCGGATCTGCTCGGCCATTGACGGTGGCGGTCCACGGGGCGGCGGTGGCGGCGGGAGCTGTCGTCGAGGTCTTCGGGCGCCCTGCTGGGGATCTGTTCCCGTCGTTCCGAAATTAGCCTGGAATGAGGGGCCTCTACATTCACTTCGGGTGGCACCAATTCCAGCAGACCCCAAACAAGCTTCCGAATAGACCGACCCTGTGCCTGCGAAGGAGTGGACTCCTGGAGCCACGCGGTGCCTCCGCCTCGGACGCCTTCGCCACTGCCACTGCTGGCTCCGCCTGGGACGCCTTCGCCACTGCCACTGCTGGCTCCGCCTCGGACGCCTTCGCCACTGCCACTGCTGCCGCCGGCTTGGGTGCCAGGACCCGCGGCATCTTCTTCGGCTGCAGCTGCTTGGGGCCCTCCGAGCCACGAGCTGGCGGTGCTGGCGCTGCCCTGGATGGCGAGCTTTGGATTAGGCACCCAACGGAAGAAGGAATCCTCTGGGAAGACCAGCTCCTAGCGACCCCTCGGACTGTACCCCTGCATGACCAAAGGCCCTGAAGAGAAGTTTAATTAATGCTTTTGGGTAAGGGCAACAATAAAGAGGTTGGGAAGGTCTCTGGCCTTCTCAACAACTCGGGCGGAGGCGGGCTTGTCGGAGGACGCGGGCCGAAGCTTATTGGTGGTCCCTTCGGGCTCGGAAGGGACGAAGACTCCGTCGTAGCAGTAGCCGCCGGTACCAGGATCGGGTCCGAGGAAGTCCTGCCATGCCCGTTGGTACAGTTACCAAGAAAAGTTAGTATTTATACATAAATGATAAATACCAAGCAAAACTCCTCCGTCCTCTGTCCTGGTCGGCTCGGACGGCTTCGCCACGGGCATCGGCTTGGGCTTCGGCTCCGGCTTGGGGTTTGCAGCTTTCGAGAGCGGCGGAGGCGACTGCTCGGGCGACTTGGCTTTTGCCGGTGCCGGTGGAGCCTTCACCGTCACGGACCCAGCGGCCTTCCCAGTCGTAGTCGCCTCGGGCACTCTGGAACCAGTGGCCTTCCCAGTCGTAGTCGCCTCGGGCGCCGCGGCCTTGCCAGTCGAAGTCGGCTCGGGCACCCTGGGCACGGTGGCCTTGGCAGTCGAAGTCGGCTTGGACACCGCGGGCGAAGGGGCTGGTGTCTCGGGCGGCACGGCCTGATGGCGGACTCGGGCGAAAACGAAAATATGAACAGGGCTGTTATTAGTAAAATCTCGGGCGGCCCTTGGTTGCCAGTGATCCCTGCCTGACTTCCTGATGATGATGCCTGCACGGGCGGCTCGGACGGTGCAACCGTCGGCCAAAAAGCCTGATGTGGACTTGATGTCATTAAATGAGTTAAAATAACTAAGTGAACCAAGCGATCAAAAGTTCTACTGAAGCCCCAAGTCTGTGCTCAAAACCCTGAAGATCCCTCAAGTCCGCGAGTTAATGTCCTAAACCTTTAAGCCCAGATCTCGGACGAGGCCAAGCGGCATCATCACTGTCGTGATGGAAGTCAGGCCGCGGCGGCTCGGACATGTCCAGCCACTCGGGCAACTCATTCTGCAGGAAGAAACGCCGCTCCTGAATGAGCCCCGGCAGCGTACTCCTCTGCTTGGGAATCGCATCGGAGTTTTGGCCCTGGTGGGCGTCCAGCAGACTCCTCGTCACCTTCGCCGTGTGCTCCCGAAAGTAGCACCACCCGTGCGGGTGCTCGGACGCGACGCCGAAGATGTCCTCAGATAATTATGCCGAAATTAGAAAAGAGGATGCCAAAAGCAAAGAATTTACTACACTATTCACGACTATTTAAATTTGTTTAAATTAATTCTTTCAATTAATTGAAAATGTTACTGGCACCTGCTATGAATGAATGCAGGCCAAACTCGAACCACACCTCGGGCGGCAAAGGCGACAGCTGATCGAGGCACCATGCGACCTCGGGCGCCGTCTCCCAGAACTGCTCCAAGTCCACTCGGTCCTCGGATGCAACCAGAATGGGCCGATGCAGATCTGCAGGAAATTTAGAAAGAACCAATTCCCGCCCATCTAGGACCAGCTACGGCAGAAACGTTGTTACACATAATTAATTAACTAATTTCTCGGTCAAACTTTAGAAATAGTTATCTAATCTACCATGCAGAAAATATTTCAGACGTCTAGGAAGCTAGACTTGGTCACTGGGCTTCATAGTTCGACTGCTATTCTTCCAAAGTCACAACGGGACTTGCAGTTGGCGGCATTAGAGTAATTCACTTATGAATTACATGATTCTTAATTGGAAAGTAAATTGCTAATTAAGAATTAGGAATCTATTTATTTATGTATTAATGAATGTTTTAAGAAATTATTATGACCTGTCTGTACAGTGGAGAGTAACTGCTACACTCCGACTGCTGCTATACCCTGTATTGCATTGCTTGGGTTCCTGACCGAAACTGCCGAGCAATATTCGGTGACATTGACATTGGCTGGACAAACAGCTTGCAACAACAGTTTCCAAAAAAGGAAGAGCAGCCTAGTATCTATGGTCGTAGCACTTTTGGTTTCCGGGTCTTTGGGAACTGGCAGGAAGCCTGACGCAGTCTGGACTCAGGTTCAGAAGCACTTTACTTTCATGAATGTCTGACGGAAGCTACCACTAGCACTTCTGCTCTGCATTGGCTTGAACTTTAAATTTGGCAGCTTCCGTTCTATCTTTTGGCTCAGGAACAATCAAAGAGCACTGAATTCTGAATTGTCTACGCCCTCAGAATTGGTATGCATCTGAAGCCAAAGTGGGCCCTATTGGAGTGTGGTTTTCACTGGGACTCTACTTGCCCAAACTTTTGTGATAACATTCCTGCCTGGATGCTAGTGAATTGAATGCTGCAAAGGGACATAGTGAACAGTTCGGCCGTCTGTTCGGAGGCGGTCGCCACGTTTGGGCTCGGGAAAGCCATTGTCATGCTGGGCGCCTAGGTTGATGGACTGCAGCAGACAGGTCTGCGAAAACTCTTAATTTAATACTTTTTAAGTGAACCTGAAGCCATGAAGAATTCAGATTAAATAGCCAAGTCTCGAAGCCAAGCAAAGGCCTTTCTGCATCCGACCTGAATCTGCCGTGGCACGTCGCTCCATTCCTCGGACTTCACCACATAGCGCAGCACCTGTCCGCAGAGGTCTCGGGCGAAGTCCAAAGCTCTCGGATGGGAATGTCTGGCCAAGGCCGAAATGACCTGAGATGGAAAATTTACGATTTTAATGCTGATAAAGTACATTTTTATTAATTTAGTAAGACTAATGAGAAGTAGCACGGAAACCGATCCTGAAGTGAAGCCAGGCCGCAATCCAAGAGCCTTCGTCCGCCCTGAGCTTGTAAAGGACCCACGCCAGCTCGTACCGGTCCCGAAACAGAGCTTTGACCACTTGCTTGAGAGGCCAGCTGCACGGCGGCAGCAGAGGATTCAGATGTCTCGGGAAGCCTGCCGAGATGCACAGATGTACAACAACAAAAAAAAACCTTGGGCCTGTGTCCCGACTATTTCAAACAGAGCCGGGCCTCGGTCCATCAAAGTGGGTCTCGGGCGGCCCATGTCCATCTGATCCTCTATGTAGTCCATCGGCGGCTCTCGGAATAAAAACCGGATACGGTTATCCTCGGACGGGCCGCCTTCCTCATCTCCGGACTCCCAATCCGGCATATCCTCCGGCCGGATGGTGATCAGAGTTCGGCCCTCCGACGGGCCTGCCATGGCTCCTCGGGCGAAAGCCGGAGCACGGCACGGGCAAGGAGGAAAACTCTCCGAAAAGCCAGGCTTTTAATAATTATTTATTGTTGAGCATGAGAATTAGTCTGTGTATGAATTAGCACGTCCTCAGATGCCAGGGTGGCGGGTGCTGTGATTTTAATTTTGGCTGGCTGCCTGAAGTACACTGGATGGCACTAAAGCCTACCGCTCGGGCATGTCCTTAAGTAAGTAACTAAATACCGCTCGGGCATGTCATTAAGTAACTAAGGCCTAGCACTCGGACGGCCCCATGTCATGTCTTCCGAACTTCTCACTTAATTAACGCCTGGGGAAGCTGCGGACATGCAGCAAGTTCTGCTCAAGCTGAGGCAGTGCAGTGCTCATGCAGCCCTGTGCAGTCACTCCGACATGTCGTTACACAACCGCTGCAGAAGCGACAAATGCATGCTTGCACGCGGCGAGCCTCGGACATCGCGAATCGCCAGGTCGGCTGCAGCTTCATCGGGCGCCGGCGGCTGCTCCTTCGAGCATGGGAAGTTAAGTTGGCAACAAATTACTGTGGGATACCTTCAACTGACTGTCTGATTCTTCGTTTCTATTAATGCAAGGTCTCAGCTGTGGGTTTGTCTGCTTGTGTCTCGGGCTGGGTGGCTCTGCTTCCAACTCTGAACTCAGATGACAAATATTCGTTCATGCTACTCTCAAATGAATTCCCTCTTGGAAATCCAAAATGCCCTGGGGCCCTGGTTGGGAGACTCTTGACATGGTTTCTCTGCCACGGGCAAGGAAGCTTCTGGTCGGCAGCGAGATCCAGGGGTTTCAAGGTAGAATATAGTTTGATTTGATGTTCGATCCACTGCTTGAATTAATGATAAGCCTGGGGTGCCCTGAACCCCTTGAAACCCTGCATCTCGGACGGCATCTGTTCAGTTCATGATTAGTCTTATTTATTACTAATTACTAGACTAGGATTCAATAAGTTATTTATATTATTTTTATTGAAGGCCACTCCTCCCGCTTCGGTCCATGATTTAAAATGAGTCATGCGTTGATACGGAAGATCTCATGGCAAATGAGAACCCAGCACTCCAAGCCAACTACTAAATAGAAATTTTCCTCGGACAGACTTGCTCAGTACGACTTAGTCAGATTCGGTCCATATTTATATGTGTACATATATATATATATATATATATATTTATTTATATATTCATATGACATACAGAAATAGAATGACAACATTTGTCAACATCATTAATTGAATTTGTTGCTACTAGTACTTGCTCGGCCCTTAGAGCTTCCAAGACAAATTCATGCCGTTCCCACTGCTCGAGTCTGATTTTGTTGTTAATTTAATTGTTAGGACTTGTCAAATGGAGAATTAATGAATCCTGAAATCTGGCTCTGCAGGTCAAGGGCTGAGAAAATTAGAGAGCCCGAGTTCCTATGCGATTTTGATTTTATATTTCATACTTAATGTCATTAAATGAATATTGTAGTAAATAGTCATGAATATCTACCCGAAGGATCCCCGGAATAGCAAGACATAAAGAATCAATGAATCAGTCGGTTGATTGGCAGCATGTCAGTACTGTACTAATCTGTCTTGAGAAACCAAAAGGCAGCCTTATGCGGCCGAAACCGCACAACCGCATCCTCGAACCGTGCCACTTCACTTCTTAAAATTGGAATCTAGATCATCCATTGAGAGTTCAACAATTGAGAAGTATACTAAATTGGTTACATAGACAGAAGAGTACATTGCTCCATCGTTTCACGAAATCATTTCAAAATTATTACTAATTACTTTTTAATTACTCAAATGCATCGGCAAGCCGAAACTTCCTACCGACCCTCCAGAGACACTTGAGGAATGCCCTGAACGGCTGAATCTACCTGGACTTGGCTTGTCTTTCCTCCTAAGATTTCTAAGATCTTGTGATCGGGACCGAGTGAAGTTTACTTTTATTTCTAATCTTGTTCTCGATTGTTCACGTAATAATTATTATTGCCGAATTCTTACTATACCTAGGCTGTCGACGTCGCTGAATGAATCAAGCCCAGTCACACGGGATCTCCCCATTAAGCCTCGTCAGCTCTCAACCTCCTGCCTCCGGATACCCCTCGAGTTCGTAACTAGCCTGCAAGTTCAATTACTTAAAATACTTACAACGATTTGCTCCCCTGCTGCACTTCACTTTTCCATTAATATCTGCTCGTCTCGGACCGTGAGCAGCATGCGGCAGTCTCGTCTCGGACGAGAAAAAAGGCATGGAAGAATGGAAGAGCACCACGCGGCAGTCTGACTCGTCCCGGACGACAGGAAGAAAGGCGGTGGTGGAAAGCCCAGGCTCGTTGAGTCACTTCTGGCCAGGGCTTCAAGGCTTTGATTTGGGCTTACGGGCTTGGCTTTTCTTCATAAATTCCCGCCTTCTTCTCGGACGACTCGGCCTTTGGCTCGGCAGCTTTCGCCTTGGGAGCCTCAGCCGCCTTCGGCACTCCCCCCTGGACCTTTGCTGCAGCTTTGGCCTTAGCCATACTTTCCACCGCCACCGCCTTTGGCACCCCCGCCTTTGCCTCGGCCGCCTTTGCCACCGCCGCCTTTGCCTCCCCCGCCTTTGCCTCGGCCGCCTTTGCCACCGCCGCCTTTGCCTCCGCCGCCTTTGCCTCGGCCGCCTTTGCCACCGCCGCCTTTGCCTCCCCCGCCTCGGCCATCTTTGCCACCGCCACCGCCTTTGCCTCCGCCGCCTTTCCGCCCTTCTCGGGCTGCTTGCCACCTCCTTTCTCGGGCGGCTTCCCACCTCCTTTTTCGGGCGGCTTCCCACCTCCTTTGCCCTTCTCGGGCGGCTTCCCACCTCCTTTGCCGTCCGCCGCCTTTCCGCCCTTCTCGGGCGGCTTCCCTTTGCCGTCCCCCTTTCCGCCCTTCTCGGGCCCTTTGCCGTCCGCCCCCTTTCCGCCCTTCTCGGGCGGTCCTTTGCCGTCCGCCCCCTTTCCGCCCTTCTCGGGCGGTCCTTTGCCCTTTCCGATGCCGCCGCCCCATCCTTTGCCTTTGTCCCAGCCCTTGCCCGGCTGCTCGGGCGCCGCAGCAGGCTTCGGCCGAAGTGGAACTTCGGCACGCTGGTAGACCTCGCCGAATTAATAAATGTGATAATGAATAATTGATAAGTGCCTCTAACTAGCCATGAAAGTTCCAGGATGTACTAGTCTGGGAACCGAAACTTATTTGCTACTAGTACTAGTACTAGTACTA